CACACAAATCAATCACATAAAGCACCCTCACACACACAACACCCTCACACAAATCAATCACATACAGCACCCTCACACACATCACACCTCACACACAGCATCCATCACACACACATACTGCACCCCTCACATACACACACAATCCCCCGATACACTGCATCACACACATACACAATACTTCCAAACATATTTATATAAAATATATATATACTCACACACACACTGCACCCCTAAACACATTACATTCCAGACACACACTAGATCCTTTACCCAACTCTGGATCATCTACACACATACACACACTAGATCCCTATATACACTCTGAATCCGTTATGTACGCACGCTCACTAGATCTCCTATACATAGTCTGGGTCCTTCAAGACTTATATATATATATATATATATATATATATATATACACACACACACATTCTGGATCCCCTATACGCACACTAGATTCTGTGTAAGCAAACACATACTACATCCCCTGAACACACACTCTCTACAAACACTACATCACCTATACACACACACACACACTATAGCCTGTATGCACACACTTGCTACATCCCCTATACACACATTCTCTACAGCCCCTAGCCACATATGCATTACATTACACCACAAACACAACACGACTAAAACCGACCTTATTACACAATACCACACCACGACCAGCTCACTCTGCACACACGCAATACCACAAGCAGGCTCCAAACACATGCACAATACTCTTTCCTGGTCCTTTTGTTTCCTGGTATCCATTTATAGAGACACCCAGGGCCGGACTGGGAAAAAAATTTGGCCCGGGCATTTTACAATTAGAGCAGCCCCCCAAAAAGGGGGCGGGGCCAGAGAAAGTGAGCATGTTGGTTCAATGCGCAGAGCCCCGCTGAAGAGCTCTAGCATTAGAAAAAGGCCCTGTATTTGTTCTGCGCAGCGCAAGCAAATGTAATAACATGCTTGCGCTGTGTTTGCTTTTAAATTGTCTCTGGTGTCTCCACAAGTGGGATATCAGAGGACAAAAGGGCCAGGAAAGTGTATGGTGCATGTGTTTGGCGCATGCTTGTGGGATTGCCTGTGTGTAGAGTGTGGTGTGGTATTGTGTAAATAGGTCAATTTTGTGGTGTAATATGTGTGGCTAGGGGCTGTAGAGAGTGCGTGTATAGGGGCATAGTGTTATAGGGGATGTAGCGAGTGTGTGCATACGGGCAGTAGTGTGTGTGTATAGGTGACGTAGTGTGTCACTTATACACACACACTACTGTGTGTAGAGAGGGTGTGTTTAGAGAATGTTGTATGTGTTTGCTTACAAGGAATGTAGTGTGTGTGTAGGTGGTGCAGTGTGTGTGTAAGAGATCTAGTGTGTAAAGGACCCAGAGTGTGTATAGAAGGTTGTGTGTGTGTGTGTGTAGAGGATTAAGAGTGCATATAGGGTAAGGGATCTAGCGTGTATCTGGAGCGTAATGTGTGTAGTGGTGCAGTGTGAGGGGTGCTGTAGTGTGTGTGTGTGTGTGTATGTATATGTATGTATGTATGTATGTATATGTATATATATATATATATATCTCAAAAAAACAGGATGCTTGGCACTCTCCTTTAAGTAATAAGAAAGAACTTTAACCAAGTCCTGTGAGTGCATCCTCAGTTTTGATTTTTGTGTATATATATATATAATAGAAATTTTGCACAGGATATGTATTATTTTATGATACAGTAAAAACTACTTTTTTCCACTGAGAAGAAGTCCTAGTGTGCTCCCTTTATTTTCTATTGTATACTTTTCGCGGGATTGCACCTAGGCAATTTTGAATCTGTTTTATTAAGCTTTAGGAGGAGTGCCTTGCTTACCTATTTTTTTTTTATATATATATATATATATATATATATATATATATATATATATATATATATAAAATATATTTGGACGTATTGTATGTGTGAGGTGCGCAGCGTGTTTGTGTAAGAGGGGTGCTGTGTGTGAGGGTGTTTTTATCTGCCGTCACATTCTGGGTTTCTAATTTTATTTGTCTGTTAACTCACTGAGGGTTTTTTTTATATAATATATGTGCTGTATATGTGTGGGAGTGAGGGTGCTGTCTGTCTGAGGGTGTTGTGTGTGTGTCTGGGGGTGCGCTGTGTGTGTCTGGGGGTGCGCTGTGTGTGTCTGTGGGGTGCTGTGTGTGTCTGTGGGGTGCTGTGTGTGTCTGGGTGCTGTGTGTGTCTGGGTGCTGTGTGTGTCTGGGGGGTGCTGTGTGTGTCTGTGGGGTGCTGTATGTGTCTGTGGGGGCTGTTAGGGAAATTATTTTAAAAATATTTTTTTTATTTTATTAATAATTATTAATAATTAAAAAAAAAAAGTTATGCCCCCCCCCTTTCTTACCTTTAGCCTGGGAGGGGGGGAGATCCGTTCTGCGTGGAGGAGGGGGACCATGCTGCCATGCTTCCCTGGTGGTCCAGTGGTAAGAGTGAACTCTAACCTGCGGGTTAGAGTTCACTCTCGCGAGATCTGAGCGTTGCCGCGGTAACCGCGGCAACGCTCAGAATCCCGCGAGAGGACCCGGCGGAGCTGCTGGATAGAGCTCCGCCGGTCCTCTCCTCCCTCCCTCCCTCACACCCCAGCAAGCGGCCGCCTGGAAGTGTCTCTGGGCCGGTAAAGGGAGATCTGTGATCTCCCCACCGGCCCATGGAGGCACACAGCAGGGCCGGCGCTCGGATAGCGCTGGCCCTGCAGGGGCCGGTCGGGGAGATCCTGTGATCTCCCTGCCGGCCTCGGCCCCACGGCCATCGCGGCCCACCGGGCATTTGCCCGGTATGCCCGATGGCCAGTCCGGGCCTGGAGACACCAGAGACAAGTTGCAAGGAAACACAGTGCAAGCATGTTATTAAATTTGCTTGCACTGTGCAGAACAAATACAGGGCTTTTTTCTCATGCTAGAGTTCTTCAGCAGAGCTCTGCGCATGGTCTGCCCTGGAAGAGTATTGAACCAACATGCTCACTTTGAGAGGGGGCGTGTTTGTCATGAGTGATGACAAAACACACCCTTTCTGCCCCGCCCACTTCTTAATGGGCCGCTGTGATAAAAAATTGCCTGGGCCGAATTTTTTTCCATGTCCGGCCCTGTTTGCCTCTGTGTATCTGCAGGCATGTGTGTGTTTGTGTGTGTGTGTATCTATATGAGTGTCAGTGTTTGTTTGTGTGTCTAGGGAAGATGAGTAGTAGGGGAAGCCTGGGGCAAAAGTGAAACAGGGAGAGCCCAGGGCAGGGGAAAAAAAGGGATATGGGACAGAGAAAAATGTATACATTTGAAATAAATGCAACTATATTAATTACAAACATTTTGTTAATGGGAGGGGTACAATTTATGGAAATGGGCTGCCAAGGGGTACTCAAGTGAAAAAAGGTTGGGAACCACTGATCTAGCACATTAGTGTTGCTTTGCTGAAGCCAGTGAGATTCTGGTAACCCAGGTATTTTCCACGGCTCATGTCAGTTCATGCATTTAATATCTGTCTATTTATACACACAGCTCTTAACTAGCATCTGCACCATGTATGACTCATGTAACAATTTATATTAATAACGACTATTACACCAGAATGTTAGAAATTATAAAAGAAGAACATCATAGACATAATTACAGTATATCCTCCACCAAAAATCTTCTCATGACCTCTGCTTGAAATTCAGGGTAAGAGAAACAAGCATGGCAGAAATAGACCCTTGCTTTTACTAAGAATGATGGGAGTTAAGAGAGAGCAAACTAACACATGGAATCGTTTAGTCAGCTGAAGCATTAAAATATAAGTGGAACTAATAGTCATCTCATGAAATCTATGAAGAATCACGTAATATTAAGCAAACTGGGTAAAATGTAACATTTTGGATATATCAAAATTACCTAATCGAGCTTAGGAATGTGCATTTTTAGGATTTTTAGGCAAATTAAGTGATGACCATGTGGTATACCATGACGCTACAGATGTATGTCAACTACATTTCCCATGATGCTCAAGCTATAGGTTTCCTTAGCATTATGGGAAATGTAGATCACTAACACCTACAGAGTTACGGTTACAGAACACAGAATTTTGGAATCTGAAAGCCATTCCAACTGTGCATTTATGTCACTGCTTGATGGACTCAGGACAACAATTGGCGTGAGTGCAAATCATGATGCATGATATTCTGATTGAGCACATACCAGTACTGAATTAAAGTGACTGCATGAAGTATGAAATCTGAGAGCCCATGCCAATTTTCTGATGGCTAGTTATAATAACGGCATTTATAATGTTGATTATATGAGACTTAGTTAGAAGGGATCACAGATCCTTTGTTTTTTCAGGGAAGCAATCAATGCGAATTTCTTCCATGCACTGTAAAAAACAATAAGGTTTGATATCCCCTGGAAGGGGAAATGAGGGGAGAGGGAACGAAAGGGAAATATAAGACATAAAGCAAGAATAAGACTATATAGTCAAGGAACATTTTCTTCCCAGCAAGGTCCCAAAGCAATCTTCATTCAAATGTCAAAATATGACAGAAATCAGGAAATATTACTTCAGGTTGTATGCTTCTGTCCTGGCCTATCAAACGAGCAGCGTAGCAATAGCAAATTACTGGAAACTGTACTTTGAACTTAACCACTGGCAGGTATCCCAGTTAAACAGAAATGTAAAGGTTTCTTTCCTCACTGGGGCCTCATGTATTGGAAGGGGTCCCTGTGGACTCTCTATATAGCTGGTTGCAACAGGTTAGAATGAGGCCTCAAGCCAGGAAAACAAGCCATGGCTAGTACTATTTCCTACTGACTGTTGTGTTTATTAGAAAAAAAGAATGATCTTTTTTTGGCATGTCAATCTTTAGTTTGCTCAGCTATACCACAGCAGATTGTCCCTATCGAGGAACGTTTCAGCTTTGCCTGAGCACAGCATATCTTTTCACTGCTTTATTCATATACTGTCACTGATTGCAAAATATAGTCAGTCAGTGTTCTGCAATGCCTCTTTCATTTACTTTCTTTTGCTGTTGTTGTTTTAGGATATCCACTTCCCTTATTGATGGATGATTTGTTCTTAAAGAATGTGAAAGCTGCACACAGGAGATACAACGTTTGGAAACGCTATGCGATTATTAAAAAAATGTAAGCTGAATAAGGCAATGCATTTTACTGGATCTATTTTTTTTTGCATGCCAAATGTGGAAACAGTCTGTTAATAAATGATGTATTTATCTGTATGTGTAGGAGCTGGTAGGTCATTTAGACTGGAAGTGCAGTTGTTTATTGGAATATTTGTATCTGATTAAGTATTAAAGCATTTCCATTACTAGGTCACAGGGCAACTAGAGTAAATATGTAAACAAATAAAACTCCAGATTTCTCATCTGATATTTTAAAGTAGTTGTGTTGCTCAAAATGATTTTACAAGTACAAGTTTTCCGCTCATTTAAAGTTCAGTCTGTCCCTCAGTGCTAGTAAATGCTGATTTGCAGTGAGTCAGTGGCTGCCCTGTTGCTGAGAATTTAGAACACAGTTATCAAATATTGTCTTTGCAGTTCCATGACGGGCCAGTGAGGGCATTTGCAGCAAGATGAAAATAGGGAAAGAAGAAATAAGTAATAAGTAATAGCACATAAAAGAATCAGTCAGGTTATGGAAAAGCTATTGAGAGGTCTTCTATGCCAGGCCTTTAAATAATACTTAAAGGGAGTCTATAGTGTTAGGAATACAAAGATGTATACCTAACACTATCGTGCTCTTTGCTCCCCCCACTCCCTCACCTCCACCCCCAGTCGTCCCCCCCCCTCCACCCCCCAGACCATAAAGGGAAAGAAAATACTTAATTTACTCACCTGACGCTTGTGCCAATCTCCCTGGGCACTGGGTCGGTGCACCGCCTCCTCTGATGTCAGCTGACAGGGTGACCTAATGCGCATACATGGCAACCACCACAAGCCCTTCCCAGAGAAAAGCATTGAATCAATGTTTTCCTATGAGGATGTCCAGCAACAGTTAGGTGTCCCAGAGTCCGATAAGATCCCGGAAGTGCCTCTAGTGGCTGACTGGTAGAATAAAAGCTACACACTGCACCCAGAACACTTCAATGAGCTGAAGTGCTCTGGTATAGTGTCTCTTTGAAGTATGTAATGGCCAGGAGTATATAATTGCATCTACAAAGAGTATAATGTTTACATATTCAAGTACAGTTGCCTGACCAAAACCAGGCATCTGTACCTTATAGGGCATTGCAAGTTGATATTAAAGCTTGCATATATGCCTCCATCCTCCATCCTTTTCGGTTTGTAGAGTGTATCATAAATGCCATAATTGGTGTGTGTGTGTGTGTATATATATATATATATATATATATATATATACAAATACATAGTATCCTTGCACTCTAACTAAATGGTTACATACCGGGTGCTTGAAATCCTGGGGAAAATCAAATATCCACTTTGCAACAGGTGACCAGCACTCACGGATTCACAAAAAGGGTTAAAACATCCAAAGTTTAATGAAAAATATTTGTAAAAATTTGTTGACAGCTCAACGTTTCAGTCCTCCTCTGGGACTTTCATCAGGAACAATAAAAGTGTCTCACAATACCCATCTTTAAATAGGCACATCAATTAACATAATTACACATTCAATCCCAAACTGAATTAGCATAATTGAAAGCCAAATTCAAGGAATTAGCATACAGACAGATATATATAAATAACGAGATCCAACTCACCAGTGTATATTTGCAGTGACAGCCGGCGTTCTGAGAACGCTTTCGCGCATGTGCGCCCATAGCCCCTCCCCTGTCTGCATGACCGCACGACCCCCGCTGTCATGGTGACCGCGAAACAAACCCCGCGACACCATGGCAGCAGCGGCACCAACGATCGCCACATAAAAGTGCATAAAGCACTGAAGAAAAAGAAAAAGAAAGGGAAAAAGAAAAAGAAGGGGAAAATAGGGACCTAAATATAAAATAAACATGGTGCATAACAAAAACGCCTGTAAACACACCAGGGCTCCACCCACTGTGTGTAGCCGTTCCCATGGTAACCGGACCAAAATGCCGGTACATAAAGTGAACAGGACGAAAAAGGGCATACAGGCTAAATAATAAAAATATGACAATGAAGCCTAATCATATGAATATATATAATGTGCAAAATATGATTAATATAAAAAGTGCATGCAGTGCAAAGCAATGAATTGCTAAGTTTATATATATATATATATAGACTGAAAAAATATGACTACTCTATATATCATATTGAAAAAAGTGCAATGTGCATATAATCAGTGAAAATAACCTATATTATATAGGTACATAAACTAATAAGGAAAATAACCTCTAATGATCACATATTGGACCAAAGTGCAAAATGCATATAAATGAAAATGAACAAAAAATAGATCAGTGATGATAAAGTGCAAGTGTAGTTGAAAAAAGTCAAATAGACTAATAAATAATATAAATGGTCTCTACATCCCCATCCAGATGTAATAGAGGGGATTAGGCTTACCCTAATAGATGTATCCACATATGCCAATAATATATTACATAAAAAATAGTGGCTATAAACAGACAGACATTGAAGGGGCTGGCAGCTCTACAGTGCAAAAATATGTATCTTAAAATAGGCTATTAAATACATAGAGATAAAACTATACAGAGTTATCCATAATTAAAAATCCATAGAAAACAGGATATTAAATAAAAGAGTGATATGAAATCATTTCATTCAAGCCATGGGGGGCTATAGTGTCTAATGTATGGATCCAAAATGTCTCTCGATTCAAGAGCAGCTTAGCCCTATCTCCACCACGTTTAGGTGGAGGGATGTGGTCAATGGCTAAGAATTTGAGAGCCGACAACGGATGTTGGTGGAGAAGAAAATGTTTGGCTACAGGTTGGTCAGAAGTGCCATCACGATAAGCTACCCTGATACTTGACCTGTGTCCCCTAATTCTTTCACACAGAAGAGTTTCCGTTTTGCCTATATAGCAAAGGCCACACGGACATGATAATTTATAGATCACATATGGGGTCTTACAAGTGATCGTATGTCGTATATGGAATAACTTATTACTGTGTGGATGATGGAAGACTCGCGAAGGAGTCATATGACCACAGGTCACGCATCCAAGGCAGCGAATGCTGCCCCGGGGTAGTATACTGATGTTCTTCTCATAGCTTTTAGTAGGATCCGTCTGTACCAACAGGTCTCTAAGGTTTTTATTCCTACGATAACAGATAAGTGGAGGCTCTTTGAAGACCTTGGGGAGTGTGTCATCACATGACAACATTTTCCAATTGTCTTTGATGATCCTTGTGACTTCCAAAGAAGCATCATGGTAGGTAACTGGAAAGACAAATCTAGGGGCATCATCTCTGACTCTAGGAGAGTTGGCCATCTTGGCTTCTTCTAATGCTCTCACTAGGTCATTGCGTCGGTAGCCACGTTCCAGAAATCTCTCCATCATCATTTTAAGTTGTTCCTCCATGATATTCACATCCGAATTATTGCGAATTACTCGCAGAAATTGAGCTTTGGGTAAAGACTTCTTCAACGCCATTGGGTGTGCACTAGTGCTATGTAATATCGTATTCCTATCAGTGGGTTTCCTGTAGAGGCAATATGAAAAGGCACTGATTCTTAATGGATATCTCTAAATCCAAAAATTGAACTGATGTCGTACTAATGTTGGACGTAAATTTAATAGGGCTCTCAATCTGATTCAATGTTTGTACCATATTCGTAGCTTCTATAGTACTGCCACTCCAAAGTAAAAGCAGGTCATCGATATAGCGAAAATATCCTTGGATAAATTGACCATACTTCGATAGAATATAGCGTTGTTCGTATATGTACATATATGCATTGGCATACATGGGGGCCATAGCAGCCCCCATGGACGTACCAGAGATCTGGAGGTACCATTTATCTTCAAAACGAAAATAGTTGTTATTTAAAACCAAAGCGAGTAATTCAAGAACAAACTCAATAGGCGGGCCTTGATAGGATGTAGAGGAACTAAGAATTGATCTCATAGCCTCAATACCCTGTTGATGAGGAATAACAGTATATAGGCTACCCACGTCCATAGTGATGAGTGTAGTAATCTCATTTTCTAAATTAAGATGTCTCAGTGCAGTAATCAAGCTAGGGGTATCCTTAATACACGTCTTAAGTTCCATAATTGGAGATTGAAAAAGCGAATCGAGCCATTTGGCTATTGGTTCAAGTAGCCCATCAATAGCTGAAACAATGGGTCTACCAGGGGGATTAGAGAGATCTTTATGAATCTTAGGGATTGTGTACAAAACCGGCGTACGGGGATGTTGTTTAAGAAGATATTCACTCAAAGGAATATTGATCCAACCAGATTCTACTCCTCTCTGTAAAGCAGATTCCACTTTCTTTTTATATATATTAAAGAATCCAGCGCACTCGCTTATTCACTAAACAATGATTTCAAATCTTAGTGATTGTAATAGTTTTATTTAAAAACACCTCACCTAGGCAAAAAATAATGTCCTGCCAAGAATGGGGTACATTGATGTTGTGGCAGGCTTATGCAATATATGATGAAATAATGTAACTAAACCCCCATTATTTTTTGCCTAGGTGAGGTGTTTTTAAATAAAACTATTAAAATCTCTAAGATTTGAAATCATTGTTTAGTGAATAAGCGAGTGCGCCGGACTGTATATTTTGTATATTCTGGCCCCAGCAGCACCCTATAATGTATGCATGTTCAGGTGAGTGCATCCCTCTTGGTTTTATTATATATATATATATATATATATATATATATATATATATATATATATAAATAAAACCAAGAGGGAGGAAGACCTGAAGAGGTCGAAATGTCGATCAGATGTATGTTACCTGTTATTAAATAATATCGAGTTTTTTTACAAAGACCTGAGAGTGCATCTCTTTCCTTTTTGCTTTATATATATATATATATATATATATATATATATATTTATATTTGTAGTCGGGAACAATAAGCTGTAATAAGTACAAGTACTTTGTGATGTGCAGTAACCGACTTATCAGTTAGGCCTGTAATAAGAGAGGGCACAACCATTAAATTGTAATAAAGGGGAGAGATGTGAGGGATGTACCCAGCAGTTACGGTCCTGTAATGGAGGGGGCCTAAGTTTAAATAGCCGGGTAACCCCTCCCACAATTACAGGCTCCACCTTTCTATTTGTAGTCGGGGACGATAAGCAGTAATAATGAAAAGATAGTGGTATACACAAGTCGCTTGTGATGTGCTGAAACCGACGTATCAGGTAGGCCTGTAATAAAAAAAAGGCAAAAAGTTGAAATATATATACTTTTTTTCATACACATTACAATGCTATTTTTTTTAATGCTACTCTTAATTCCTGCTCTGGCTGAGGAATATATCTGGCATAGGTCACAGATTTACAGCAACCTAATCTTTTTTTTTTATTATTTAAATGTTTATTGACAATATTTTCGAAGGGGAGGGGTACAGAAGTAAAAAGAGGAGGGGGGAGGTTAACAGAGGTGGTGCGTGGTACGCGGTACAGCTTGATAATGCTTAATTAGTACACAGCATATAATTCACAAGATATGATACATAATATAATATGGTGCGGTACCTGGGATACAGTATACACAAGTCTCATACGCCGTTGCTTGATAAATGTAGTGCTTAGTATAGTGCTATGTGCGGCGTATATGCCCTGTTTTCTCCTATGTCAAATTGCGATGCACGACTGTCATGCCACCTGTGCAAGTATCTAGCGTCGTGTGGCGTTTAGGTATGATTGCGTCTTGTGCAAATGCTGTGCTCGGTTTGCATAGTTTCCGGCTCTCAGTCAAAATCCCAGGGGTGTTGGGTCTTTGGGGGTACTGCTGTGAACGGGTTGGAGGGGGGGGTTTGGCAGGTGTTTGTCCCAGTATGCTATCCATGGTGCCCATGAGATTAGGAGGTTTGTCCTGCATGCTGCTGTTTGGGTAGATAAGCATTCGTGGATATAGTATTGATGAATTTTTGCCAATAGGTTGGGCTTGGAGGGACACTGTGGCGATTTCCAATGGTTTGCTATGAGGTTTCTCACCGCTAATGCTATGATAGCCATGACACATTTTATATGTTTCGGTGTGGGCGTAGGATACAGTAAAAAAAGGCCTGTGTCAAGGGGCGGTGTGGTAATGCCAATGGTTTGTATTATGTTTTGTGGCGTCTTCCCATAGTGGGCGTATGCGTGGGCATGACCACCAAACGTGAGTCATAGTACCACTGTCTATCCCGCATCTCCAGCAGTGAGGGGGAACCGTTTTATACATTTTATGAAGCCTCTGGGGTGTGAGGTACCACCTGTAAACCAACTTCTTGTGTGCTTCAATGTGGGAGTAGCATCGTGTGAGCCCCTTAAGTGCGTTCAGAGAGGTTAGGATTTCTGTATCAGATGTCAGTAGGTCGCATTCTGATAGCCACTGTTTCACAAATGTTGGGGGTTGAGGAGGTGATAATCGTAAAAGAGTCCTATAGCATGAGGTGAGGGATTTGGATTTAGTCGGGGTCTGCCAGCATCTATCGTATAGGGCTTCCATGTCTGGGAAGTCAGAGCTGTCGGCTACTGTGTTGCGTGTGACGTGGGAAGGGATTATGCTTTTGAGTTGCATGTAGAGAAACACTGAGGAGTTGGGCAGGTGGAATTCTTTTTGTAGATCTGGGAAGGATTTGATGCGATTTAGGTGGAGGACTTGGTCGAGCTTGGTTACCCCGTGTTTGACCCACGAGTTCAGTGAGAGCCAGGGTGAGATTGCTTTTAGGGTTGTCAGTGGTGAGCGTGGGTGGAATTTGTAGGTGACATTTTGCTTTTGACGGGTGGTGTCCCAGTGATGTAGGGCTAGGATAGTGGTGGGTAGGAGCGTATTGTCTTTGGGTCTCAATGTCTTTGGTGTCCAAAGCATATTTGTTAGCGAGGTGCTGGTGAGTCGGGCTGTTTCCATGTCAACCCACTGGTATACCCCTCTCGGAGTGTGTAGTTTCACTGCCGCCTCTAAGTTGGCTGCTTTGTAGTAGGTGTATATATCTGGGAGGCCAATTCCTCTGTCTGTTCGATGATTTTGGAGAAAGCGTTGGGAAATTCTGGGTTTGCGGGTGTCCCAGACGTAGGAGGATAGTACTTTTTGGAGTGATTTGAAAAAGTTTTGTGGGACCCGTATATGTAGGAGACGGAAAATGTACAGTAGTTTAGGGAGGAGGACCATTTTGACCGTATTGATTCTGCCTAGCCATGAAAGTTTAACTGGTTTCCATTTTTGGCATTCTGATTTGCATAGGCTTAGGAGTGGTTTGTAATTGTATTGGAATAATAGGTCCGTTGTAGGCGCAATTTTGACCCCGAGATAAGTGATGTAGTTTGATCTCCAGTCAAAATCGTATTTGCCCATGAGTGTTTGAACAAAATCTGTGGGGAGACCTAATGGTAATGCTTGTGTTTTCGTTTGGTTTAGTTTATAGTATGTTAGTTTGCCATATCCCCCTAAGATTTGCATGAGGGCGGGTAGTGATGAGGGCACATCTTTCAGTGTTAAGAGGATGTCATCTGCGAACATGGATAGTTTGTGATCAGTCCCCCCTATCCTAATGCCTTTGATTTCGGGCTGACGTCTAATTATGTGTGCAAGCGGTTCTAGAGAGAGAGGACGAACAGAAGTGGGGATAAGGGGCAACCCTGTCTTGTGCCGTTGGTTATGTTGAACGGGGTGGAGAGGAATCCCGCCTGTGAGACTTGTGCTGTCGGGGTATTGTATAGGGCCATGATACCAGAAATTATTGGTGTCGTGAAGCCGAATGTACTTAAAACTTGTTGCATATAGTCCCAGTTGAGCCTGTCGAAGGCCTTCTCTGCATCTAGTGCTAGGAGAAGGCCTTGTCCTCTGGAATCGTGTATATGTGATAGAATGTTCAGGATTTTCCTAGTGTTGTCGGAGCCTTGTCTTGTCTTGACAAAGCCCGATTGGTCGTTGTGTATTAATGTGGGGAGAATAGCAGACAACCTGTTAGCTAGGAGTTTCGCGTAGAGTTTGACATCTACGTTCAGTAGGGAGATTGGTCTGAAGTTTTGGCACTGGGTTTGGGGTTTGCCTGGTTTTGGGAGAGTGGAGATGTGGGCTTTTAGCATTTCTGGGGGTAGGGCTCCCTGCGAATAGCAGTGGTTAAAGAGTGTGGATAGGTGTGGAGATAGAATGGTAGCGAAGGTCTGGTAATAGAAATTGGTATAGCCATCAGGGCCTGGTGCTTTGTGTTTGGGGAGTCGCTTGATTGTTGTTTCTAGTTCTTGGGTGGTGAATGGTGCGGTGAGGGAGCTTATAGCTTCCTGGGAGAGTTTGGGTAGATCAGTTTGCGCTAGAAAGTTTTGAATGTCTAGTGTGGATGGCGGGGTGATCGCGGGGTCCTCCTTGAGGTTGTAGAGTGTGCTGTAGTAAGCAGCGAATGCGTCGGCTATGTTTTGTGGGTTTGTGAGTTTCTGTTTCGTAGATGTGGTGATATACGCTATTCTTGAGTGGGCCATGCGCGCTTTGAGTCTGACTGCTAGTAGAGCCCCTGCTCTGTTCCCTTGTGAAAAAAAATTGTGTTTATATCGTTGAAGCATGTAGGTAGTTTTGGCTTGTTCTATGTCTCTAAGTTTGGTTTGAAGAATGGATAGCTCGTGTTGTAGTGTTTGTGTAGGGAGGGTCTGCCTTATTTTTATGAGTGAGATCAGTGATTTTGGTGATTAGGGTGGTGTATTCTTTAAATCTTTGCTTTTTAGCGTGGCTTCCTGCCTTAATCAGCAGGCCTCGTATTACCGCCTTATGTGCGAGCCAGACGGTAGTCGGGTTGATGTCAGGGGTTGTGTTTGTTTTGAAGTATTCGGTAAGGTCGTTTTTTAATTGGTTTACAATGACGGGGTCTTGTAGTAGGGAGTCGTTCAGTCGCCATGTACCCTTACCTACGGTGGGGCCCTTTTCCGTGATGGTTAGAGTAAGCAACCTAATCTTTTGATGATATGAGCAGGGAGATTGTCACCGGGTAAGAAGACATAAACAGGCTTGTGCTGGGAAATGCGCTTAGGATGTGATGTTGGATGCCAGTCGTTAGAGCTTGATGGTATTAAGAGAGAGTTTTAAATTGAGGTAGCAAAAAGAGATAAACGCCACTATTGATTATAGTGAATGAGTGTTGCTAATGTGGTAATTGGAGGTAAACTTATAATAAATGGTAAATGCTCTATCGTAAACACGTGACGTATTGGCTGAAAGGGCCGAGCTAGCCATAAGTCAATATGTGATTTAGTCCAGGATTAAGTCTCGGAATGAGGGGTTGTTGACAGGGGTGTTGTTGGGTGTGCTTTGAATTTTTTTTGAAAATTAGCATGAGATGATGCATCAGCAGCTTTATTAATGCGTGCGGGGATGTGTATGCAAGTGATATGAAACTGTAGTGCAGCTGCCAACCATGTAGGCTGTCTAATGAATCTCATGATAGTGAGGGATGAGGATCAGCCTTTGTTAATGATGTCACAGGCTGTTTTATTGTCGGAAAAGCATTTAACTGCTTTCCCCTTCCACTGATACCCCCAGGCCTTCGAGGCGGCCATAATAGGGTAGACTTCAAGCAAAGCTTAAGTTGTGTGGAACGAGGGTAGACCGAGGGTCTCGACTGGCGATGAGTCTCTGAACCAGGAGTCACCAAAGATCGCTGCAAACCCTGTGTGGGCTGCGGCATTGGTCCAGACTATGGGGGAATGATCCGAGATGGGGGGATGAACATTGCTCTCCCATTCCAATGGGACAAGAACCTGAGCCACATGAGTAAATCTGTGTTGGCGTGCATATCCAAAGACGTGGTACTATTGTCTGTATGAGGATGGGGAAGAAGGCACAGCAATCGGGAAATAAATGCCCAGCCCTGTGGAATTAGTCTCACAGCAAAGTTCAACGTGCCTAGTAAAGATTGTAGTTCTACCCTAGTACACCTGTTCTTGGCAAGAAAACATTCCACAGTTTCCCTGATGTGCTGTACCTTCTCTATCGGTAAACTTGCTTGTAATTTTACTGTGTGGAGCTGAATACCCAGGAAGATAACTTTGGTGAAAGGACCTACAGTTTTTTCCCATGCAAGTGGAACCTTAAGGTATGAAAAAAGAGCCATTGTCTTTTGAATGCTATTAGGGGTAGCCTGGGGGTCCTCGGTTGTGAGAAAATCATCTAAGTAATGTATGACTGAAGGGCAATCACAGATATTAAGAAGAAGCCAACGTAGAGTATTGGCAAACAAGTCAAATAACGTGGGAATACTCTTGGCACCAAATGTCAGATGAGTGACAAAGTAATACCTATCTCACCACATTATACCGTGCACATGCCACAGGGATGAGTGTATGGGTAAAAGCTTAAAGGCATTTGAAATGTCTGTTTTCCCCAACCAAGCACCAATGCCTGCCTTCAGTATGGCATGAGTGACATCGTCCACTGTAGCGTAGTGCAAGGATAACTCTTCAGAGGGATTAGTGAATTAAGGCTTGGAGTAGGCAATTAATGTGGAGCCAATAAATCGATAATTAGACCGTTTTTATTGTTAGATTTCCCTGTGGCTATACCTATAGGGTTGGTACACCAGCACAAGAAAGGTTTATGTAAGAAAGGGGATATAATTAATACGTTGTCCAACTCTTTCTTGAGTAATACGTCACTGTTGAGGGGGTCAAGTAGAGCGGACTATAGGTTTTGAGACTCGTGGATACCAGTGAGGAGTATAGTAGGCCAGTGTGTAAACAGTCTGTGAAACCTTGAACCAAAAAGTCGGGATGGGTGTGCTTGGAGATAATACGCCAAGTTATCAATGCAAACTAGTGATAGGGAGATTCGGATCCACTGGGCATATGTTAGTGGAATGGGAGATAGATGCACAAATGGCACAAGACGATGGTTTGGGACCCACAAAGTGATGACAGAACAACTTTGTGTCGAGCCTACTCCAGTCGGTATGAGAATTGAATTGCAAGGGTTGCTGCCGCTTTGTCCAAAAAAGACTTGTGGTAGTCGAAGAAAGAAAACCAACCGTACTTGTACCCCGGATGCACCAACTTATGCATATAGAGATCCAACTCTTCCCTACGGTGAGGTGGAGCAAATTACATCACGATATAGTCCAAATATGAAGACAAATTCAGGTATAGTGAGTTTACAAATGAGTCTGTGGTCTCTGGCTTTCAGGACAACGGATAGGTCACCATGGGAGTAGGATTTATTCTCCAACACATCCTGAGAGGCAATTGGCAATGACACTTTGAAACCCATTGGTCGAAATGCTTCAGTGTAATTGTTACATTTTTTTGTTATAACCACTTTTATTATTTATTTTTTTTAAAGCTAATTTTAAGCATTTTAACTCCAAACCTGCACATTATTATTTTGCTGATTCTTGAGACCAGCCGTGATATCTGCAAAAGCGGAGGAGTGGACTTACATTTGAAAGGATATCTGAGCATGCTGTTATAGTCAGAGCCTACTACACGTGGCTCTGAAAATTGTGAGTTGGAATTTGACATCACAAATAAGAGTGTACCCACCATACAGTATTATGCTAAGCATAATTTTTAATATTTAGGTGGAGTACATATAATATGAAGAACCAGTGTGAATAAGTATCAATTTTGTTACTCCTCTGTTATCACACTTATTGTAGAGCACCCCCTATCTCTATTCTTTCTAATTATTGTTTTGTGTTTTTAAAGTGGTTTTCTAACACTGGGGAAGTCAGAGCACCTCACCTCACTTGTAGTAATGAAACTAAGTTCACGTCTTTGCCTTCCAGGATGTCCTTGCGAATAGTGGGGGGAACTAAGTGAGCGGGAGTGACGATGTGAGCGGATGTGCTAGGAGTAGAGTTCGAAGAGATGAGATTACCCAGAGATGTAGAGGGAGTGGGGAACCCCGTAGGTGAGCTGGGTGTCAGTGATTGACGAGATTCTAGTTTTTATAGCTGGACGCTAACAGTGTTAAAGGAGGTGAGTAGGGTGGTCATCATACTTTTGATCTCAGTGTAGTTAAAGCTCAACTTTGCGAGCTCCGTCTGTAAAGCTCAACTTTGCGAGCTGTGGCTTGAAATGGAATCCCTAAATGCCTTAATTCAGCTGCAAGTCTCGGGATGGTCCAGGGGCGTAGGGAACAAGGGCTAGCTGAGTCTGAATGAACCCAGCGGTTACGGTCCTGTAATGGAGGGGGCCTGAGTTTAAATAGCCAAGTAACCCCTCCCACAATTACAGGCTATATATATATATATATATATATGTATATATATATATATACTCAGCACACTCACTCAGTAAACACAAACTTTAAAGTTCACAGAATGTAACAGATTTTTTTAACCTAAGCAAAAATAAAACATATTTAGTTACAGTATATGATCATACATTGCAAAAGCCTGTCACAATGCCAATGCACCCCATTTTTGGCAAGTTCTATCCTAGCAATCTATTTGGTAAATACTTCCCTGGGACTCTCTCTATGCAAAATCTATTGTAGCCTGTGCATACACATGATTGAGAGAAAATGGGTTAAGCAGCTAAAATGGTAAACCACTCAGATACAGTAAACAGCAGAGCTCAGCAAATGTTTTATAAAACAAATTGTGCTGTGCAACATTCTGCCCACTGCAGCTTTATTAAGGCAGCATTATCTACAGCATACTAAGTAGCCTCCCTGCTGCTTAGTTTCATTCTGATTATCTTAATGGATAGGATATAGGAGGCAGTATGGTATCAAACAAGGTTGGGGTGCTTAGCTTGGTAGTAAAACAAAGGGAATTTATTGTGCTGATGCATATAATTGTATACCTGTTTCGCTTTATTAAATTGTGTTGATTTCCTTATTCATCCAGCATGAATTTTCTATATTATAGTTATTTTGCTATAAAAGTTCTTTCTACTTGTAATTCTTTCTGGAGGAATAAAAATGTCTAACACAAACCTTTAAGTCCACAGATCCTTTTTTTTAGGTGCCAAATAAAGAAGGTGACATTTTGGCCACACACAGCCATGAGAAAGACTGTGTGTGGCTGAAACTCCATCTTTTTTTTCTTTGGCACTTCAATAACGTATCTGGGGATTTAAAGGTTTAAGCTGGACATTTTTATTTTTTCTATATTATTGTTGGCTGGGGCAGAGACATGGTCCATGCATCCTAAAGTGACCAGTATCTCCAATGTTTGTTTTTGCTGTAATTCTTTCTGAAGCAGGCTATGCGTTGTCAAACAGTCACTATGGTATAATAATTAAAAAAATGTATTTCGGTCATATGGTTAAGAATGTTTCTAATGTTGGTCAAGCTTATCAGTTACTTACAATATATTTTAGAAGGAGACAACATATTTATAGGCAATATTCAGCTTTGGGTTGGGCAACCTTAAGTACCCAAATAGGTTCAGTTAAAGAGAGATACCGTGTCCCAGAGGAAGTCCAAACAGGTGAATGAAACATGTAGGACTTATTGCTGTTTATTTTATTTGATACATTGCATTCCTACTGACTTGGCAGTGGATTGGTACCTAAACACGTCCGGGTGCAGTCAAGAGGTGTGAGACGTTGCCTGCCAGAAATACCTGCTATATGCTTCAATATATTATACACTCTTTCTATAAAGGTTTTAAGGTGTATTTGGTATATTGCGCTATTGTGGTTGTTTCTTTCATCCATATGTGAATACTTTGTACTTAATATGAACATAGACTTGAAGAGATATGAGCTGGAGATTTATTCCAGTTACCATGGAGATAGTAACTGGACAATTTTCTTCGTGGAGGATTAACCCCATCGTTGTTGCGTATGGTAAATTCTCATTAAACCCTTGTCTTACTAGTACTGCTGTATGTTATCTTTTCTGTTGTAATTGGATAAAAAGTTCAGTAAACAAAAAATCTAAAAAAAAAAGTCTAATTTATGACTTGTCAGCACCTCATAATTCTTCTATTTCTAGCCTCAATTAACTCATCCATTCTGAAGAATTCTCTCTCAAATAGGTAACTATAGATACAGCCATCCAACATTATTATTATCATCGCCATTTATATAGTGTCAACAGATTCCGTAGCGCTTTACAATATTATGAGAGGGGGGATTTAACTATAAATAGGACAATTACAAGAAAACTTACAGGAATGATAAGTTGAATAGGACCCTGCTCAAACGAGCTTATATTCTATAGGAGGTGGGGTGTAAAACACAATAGGACAGGAAATAGCAATCAAATAAGGTGGGAGTGAAACAGAGCTGGAGGAGAGAGTAGAGTGTTGCCCTTTAGGAGAGAGCAAGAGACAGGTATGTAAGGTAGAGGTTACTCTGGGAGGCCATAAGCTTTCCTAAAGAGATGGGTTTTAAGGCACCTCTTAAATGATTATAGACTAGGGGAAACTAGGGGAGTCTGATGGCAGTAGGCAGGCTATTCAACAGGAAGAAAGCCACCCGCGAGAAGTCCTGCAGGCGTGAGTTGGCCGTACGGGTGCGAACAATGGACAGGAGAAGGTCACGGGCAGAGCAGAGAGACCGAGAAGGGACATACCTATGGATCTGTGAGGAGATAGAAGAGGGGCTAGAATTGTTCAGTGCTTTATAGGTGTGAATTAGTTCCTTGAATTGATTATAGGATACAGGAAGCCAATGTAAGGACTGACTGAGGGGTTAGGTGTGAGAGAACTGACTAGAGAGGAAAATCAGTCTGGCGGCAGCATTTATTACAGATTGTAGCGGTGCAATACGGCTTTTGGTAATACCAATCAGGAGAGGGTTACAATAATCCATGCAGGAAATTACTAGAGCATGGACAAGCTCCTTGGTAGCATCTTGGGTAAGGAAGGGGCAGATGCGGGCTGTTTTTAAGATTGAATCTACAGGATTTGGCAATATACTGGATGTGAGGCTCAAAGGTGAGGCCAGAATCAAGTATGATGCCAAGACAGTGCGCTTGAAAGGATGGACTGATGTGGATACCACTAACCTGAAGGGAGAGCAAAAGAGGAGGATCAGTATAAGGAGAAGGAAAGACAAGGAGCTCAGTTTTAGAGAGATTGAATTTCAGAAAGTGGGAGGAAATCCAGTCAGAGATGGAAGAAAGGCAAGCAGTGACACGTTGTAGCACAGCAGGACAGAGATCCCGGGGAGGAGAGATATATCTGGGTGTCATCAGCGTACAGGTGGTAGTGGAATACAAAACAGGTAATAAGTTTGCCAAGAGAGGCAGTATTCGGTTGTTAGTAACTTTGATAAGAGCAGTCTCAGTAGAGTGGAGAGGGCGGAAGCCAGATTGAAGAGGGTCAAGGAGAGAGTTGGAATTGAGGAATTGAGACACACAGGTAATGACAAGTCTTTCCAGAAGCTTTGAGGAAAAAGGGAGCAGGGATATAGGGGGGTTAGGCTGAGGTTGTTGAGGTGAAGGGGTACTCAAGAGCAAACAATAAGAGGTGGTGATCAGAGAAAGGATATGGAGTGGAGTGCAGATATTAGATACTGTACATGCATAAGAGAAGATGAGGTCGAGGGATTGCCAGCTATATGGGTGAGAGAATTAGCCCACTGCAATAGCTGAGGGAGGAAGTAATTGAAAGTAGTTTGGAGGCTGCTGAGGTGAGAGGTGGGTAAATGGGAATATTGAAGTCCCCGAGAATTAAGGATAAAATATTAGAAGAGAGGAAATAGGGTAGCCAGGCAGCAAAATGGTTTTGTTGTCTTTCCCAGTAAAAAAGCTTCCCTATCTAAAGCAGATATTTCGGAAGCTTTTAAACTACTTTGAATTCATCCATCATTCTGGCATCTATATGGCATAAAAAGGACAAATACTGAGGGGGCAGAGCTCGACCCTGGAGCGGCCCAGACATGTGTTACATGGGCTCCTGACTCCTTGGCCGATTTGGGAGTGCTAATTCCAGCCAAGGACCAATTCTGCCCACTCAAGAGTGCTCCTTGGGTCGGGGTTTCCCGGATAAACAAATAGAGATATTACTCGTGACCTTACTTCACCGGGATCCCAAGCAGTTCTGTAGAGGCCTGTTGTGGTTGGTGTTAGGGAAAGGCGGCCGATCTCCCTGCTCACAATTTCTCTTGGACCGGTGGGGATTATCCCGGTCCTCTTTGGACTGTTTTGAGCAACGTATGCTGCACTTACCTCGCTCTGAGTTACCCCCGAAACATACTCCAGCCAGCTACGACATTTAAGATGGCAACTGATCTTTGTGTTACTGGAGGCCTTGCCTCATGCGCTTACGTATTGCTGCGTCTAGAGGGGCACTTTCGGGCCTTATGGAGAAAACTTCAGGCATGCTGCATATCATCTCTATTTCAACCGCAGGGAGGTGGTCGAAGGCGCAAGGTGCAGGAGAGGAGGGATTCCTCACGAAGCAAATCAACCTTGAAACTGCCTCAACACACATGGGCCTGCTGTCCCAGACTGAGGGCTTCCCACACGGCGACCATGCAAGCCGAAGTTCATACGCCAAAGGAGGCGCTCACTACCTGGTTCTTTCACCTACTCCTACTGGGGGAAACACTTCCCACCCACAAATCACCATCTCTGCAGTTCCTGGATGCCGGTCCTCATTCAGATATGCCCTGGCGCTACGTTTTTGATGTTCCGGGGAACTCTCTAGGCAGTGCTCTACATTTCATGCCTCAAGGAATAGGCTAATGCCATCTTGTCTTAAATAATCTGCATGCCTTACTAAGGATCACTATACCTATACCTGTTGAATATATTTGCTTCTTTTTATTTTTGCATGTAGTGCAGCAATCTAATATAGACCTAATTACAATGGTTTTACTCTTTACAAAATTATTCTAGCATGATATACCATACTATTATAGTCATGCTACTTATCATTAGCTTATATTATGCCTCAAGTTCTATGTTCATGTTTTTATATTACCAAAATTTCCAGTATATAAGAATACCACACAGATTTTATACTACAATGTTTTGCTATGCTCTTGATATCACTGTTGTAGCGAATAATACTTGCTTGTTTTTTCTTGCACATCAAAAAAAATGATTTTTTTTTTTAAAAGGACAAATACTATTTTGCAACTCATCTAACATTGGTTCTACTGTCAGAGGACCTTTGCTAAATATTAATTTTATCATCTGACAGGAGGCTTCATATTTGCATTACTCGCTTTACTGAAACTCCCAGCAGCACAGATCATAAGAGAACAACCAATCAAAAAACACTTCAATGTTATAGAAAAGGACCTGTCACACACACAACTTCCTCTTTCTTTGCTGCTCCAGCCATGCACAGGTCAGAGTAGTTTGTCCTTGTGACTGTTTACTGTTACTTGTCTGATTTATTCTGTATTCTGTGTAATGATTCATTGGTATTTAAGATTGCTTTATTAGCTGATATATCTTTCTACAGTTTGAAGATTGTTTTATTAGGTAAACTGATTTATAGGTTGTATTCTCTCATGTGTGTTATTCCACTGTAAACAAAGGTTGCTATATTTGTATTATATGGGTATTTACCCTGCTATTCTTGTTAGCTTCCCCCCCACCGTTCTTCTAATACTTGTTTCCCCTTTTTACTTGCTTTTCACAACCCTCTTTGATGCCTGCTCCCTCTCTCCCTTCTCTCCTGGAGCCTGGGACTGCCCTGGTCCCTTGCCCCTCGCGCGGTCGCCGCGATCGCGCTCTTTTCAGCCTGTTTATACTTATTTGGAGATAGCTAAGGGAGTGTGTGGGTGGTGGGGGTGCTCAGCGCGATTCTTCCTTGACCATCGGGCCGGCAAAACCGTGGATTGCGCCAATCGTTGCGTGTGCAGCGGTCATCTTGAATCTCGCGAGTGCCGCGAGATTCACGTCGGCCATTTCTTTTTTTCCTTCCAGATTGGTATTACTGCGATCTGGACTAAATATACTTACCTTCAAGCTGTATCTGAGTCTCCACACTCACCACTGGAGACTGCAGTGTTGATTTCTCAGCCACAGTTAAGGTACCTACTACAAGTGATTACACATACATGCTGGGCTGATACATGCTGTTTGCTGACAACAGAATGACATACACTGCGGTGTGATTGCTATGTGGGAATTTATTGAGCTTCACAGCCATATACACTGTGCCATCCCACTGGAGACTGCAGTGCTGAGTCTCATCCTCGGTTAAGGTACCTACTACAAGTTATTCAATATGTGCTGGGCTGTTACATGCTGTTTGCTGACACAACAGAAATTGACATACACTGAGGTGTAAAAGCTATGTGGGACCATGCTGGATTTAACAGCCATATACAAGGTGCCTTTTTGGTTACATTAGTTGCCATATGTGGCTGTCCTCTGGTTCTCATGACACACCACCTGGGGTGAGCTCCCAGATATCCTCATAGGTGTTCTGCACATTACCTATAGGGATCTCCCACATCCTTTATGTTGTCTGGAAATACATTATCACACCATGCAGAACTATCACACATGCTGTGTACACCTGTTTTATTGCTGACCACGGAGGTACAGCTTTGACGTGTAACTAGGGTGAACCCCTCGAAGATACGTCACCTTGGCAACAATTACAAGGTTAACCCCTCAATAATACTCCGGATGGGGAATTAGGCTGGGGATCAACCCCATGATTCTGAGACTACCACGTCTCCCATTCACTTAAGGGAAACCCCCCTTTCGTACACATAGAGGGTGTAGACGTCTATACCGTGAAGCCCATCCCTGGGTGAGCCCCAGTTGTACTAAGAGACTGGCACCTTCCGTGCGTCTCCATTTATCTTGCTCCCACTGATTGTCGCTGTCCTCTTATAGGCAGACCAACCATCATGAACAACACCCCTCCACCAACGCAGAACTTTCAGGCCATGATTATCGCAGCGTCAGTTGAAAAGGCCCTACTACGGGTCCTGCCCCAACCTCAGCAAACAGGGCCACAAGACTCTGATGCCGCCCCAGGTTCTGACACTCCACTGAGCCAGACCGGGCCCGAACGTCACATGAAGGGTTCCAGGTCCCCGAAAGGGAGTAAGTCTAGGGGCAAAGCTCAGTTAAAATTAAATGGGGGTACCAATGTTCGATCCACGCACTATACGATACCCCAAGTCGTCGGTATGGACAATGCCAGATCATCTGGCCCAATTCAGCCATTATTGGCTCCACAGGCCACTGGACAAGGAAGTGCAGGCACGCATATGAACAGAATGCCCCCGCCCCCTCCTCCTCCCAGACAAGGTGGCTATCACTCCAGTATTTGACACCACGGTAGTGGTTTTCATGTCCCGGGCTGGCAGAGACCCCAGGAAGGACATCGATAAAGGGGCTAAAGTCGGCACAAAACAAGCCATTGGATCTACTAGGCCCATAGGCTACAATCCTATTCTTTGTGGATTTGGCCCTCCCATAGGGCATGCAGTTGGACCCAAGTGACTTCCGTGAATGGGCCCAGCGCTCTATCTGCATGCTGGGTAACGCCAATGTGACCCTCTGTACAGTAAGACGCAAGACAGCACTGTTGAGGAAGGACTCAAAACTCTTGGAATTGGGCTCCAAAGAACTGGGACCGTTGGCAAAGTGACTCATATTCTGTAAACCTTTTATAGCAGAGTTTAAGCGACAACCTCTTCATGGCGCTGACCAAAGCCCAACCTTCACTCAAGCACGGCTGCAGACCACCACCCAGCAGGGGTGTCTTTGATGTTCCGGGGAACTCTCTAGGCAGTGCTCTACATTTCATGCCTCAAGGAATAGGCTAATGCCATCTTGTCTTAAATAATCTGCATGCCTTACTAAGGATCACTATACCTATACCTGTTGAATATATTTGCTTCTTTTTATTTTTGCATGTAGTGCAGCAATCTAATATAGACCTAATTACAATACGATTTTGGTCCACTGGACCCAGATCCTATTCACAATCACCCTTCTTCCATCCTACAGAACTGATTTGAGATCACGGCAGACACTTGGATCCTGCAGACAGTTCAAGGCTATGCCATCAGGTTCCACTCCCAACCCATACAAACTGCCCAACCACCTCCATTGCATGTTGCAAGAGAACGCTGACTCCTCATAGACAAAGAGATTTGCTCTATATTCGCCAAAGGCACGGTACAATTCTTCCCGGATGATTGGGGCTTCTATGGCAACATCTTCCTGGTCCGAAAAAAGTCAGGAGACTTTCGGCCAGTCATCAACCTCCACCAGCTCAACGACTGTGTCGTCTATCAACATTTTATAGTGGAAGGTATATATCTACTCCGGGATCTTCTGCTGGTAATTGATTGGCTCACCCGTCTCGATCTCAAGGACGCGTATCGTTCGGTACCCGTGGCATCTACGAGTCATTGCTTTCTAAGGTTTGTATGGGGTCTTCGGTCTTGTCAATTTATGTGCCTGCCTTTCGGCCTCAGTTCAGCTCGTGGTGCTTCACAAAGCTATTGAAGCTGGTCATAGCCCATTTCCAATCCAGGCATCCATTGCCTTTTCTACCTGGACGACCTCCTGATCTTCTGTGACGCAGAATCCAGACTGCGCTCACAGACGTACTTTGTTGTTCACTTTCTGGAGTCTTTGGGCTTTGTGGTGACCAGACAAAAGTCACCCCATTCCCATTCACTGGTCATGCAGTCCCTCGGTTTCAAGATAGACTCGAGGGATTGTGTCCTCCAACTACTTGCCACGAAGATTGCATCCATCCAAAAGGAGATTCAACGGATTCTACGCACGAATATGGTGCCCCTGCGACTCCTCGCCAGGATAATGGGCCTTATGCCTCCTCGACCCAGGCAATATTTCTGGGGCCTCTGCACTACGGAGCTCTGCTATGACTGAAGGCAAAACATTTGCGTCTGGGTCACTCATACGACCATTGGATACCCCTATCGGGAGAGGTGCAGACAGAACTTCGTTGGTGGCTACTCCACATGCAAGCCTAGAACGGCCATCATGTGGAATCCTGCTCCGCATGGACAACTTTTCGGCGGTCCAATACTTCAACCGCCTGGGCGGAGCCAGATTGGCTCCTAGATGTCTCTACTTTCCACACATTGATGGACCTCAGGGGTCCACTAAACATGGACCTGTTTGCATCCAGAACGAACCAGCAACTCCCGAGGTTCTTCAACTGGCTGCCGGATCCATATTGCAAAGCAGTGGACGTTTTCCTCTAAATTTGGCCGGACGAGGGAGCCTATGCCTTCCCGTCGTTCACGTTCCTCCTTATCACTCCCCTCGGGCAGAGTCAAGTGTGTCTCCTGGACTTTCTGGAACTGTCTCATACAGGATTCATGTTGTCTAGGCCTCCTGCACCTAAATATCCTCGTTTCTGGGACGTAGATTTAGGGCTGCGTTTTTCTTCAAGGCAGACCAGATAATTCGGGCTTATCACTGAGTCACCTTTCCACCTTTTCCAGTTACTATGCTGTTGTGCCTCATCTCCTTCTGACTTGTTTTGGATGTTTGGATCCTTTTCCCTGGATGGCGTTTCCTTTGTTTTACACGTGGGACAGGATCGGATTCTTCCTCCGTTTCGTATCCATTTTTTCTAGCAATCCCTGACTGTGCATTATGGACACGCTTTTGCGGTATATCAAGGTTACGGCGCCCTTACAGACTGCCCCTTGGAACCAACTTTTGGTGTCATAGGTTAAACCCCATAACCCTGTCTCGACTACGACGCTGGCCAGCTGGATCCGCTTGCTTTTGTCTTTGGCTGGAATAGATTCCAGCTTCGGTGCACTCTCTGAACGCAGAGCAGCCGCGTCACGAGCGTTCATAGCGGGCGCGTCATTAGCCAATATCATGCGATGCGTGGACTGGTCACAGGGAATCTATGCTCTGTGTGTTTTATTTCAGACAGTCCTCTCACGCTTATTTAACTTTTCTAAATTCTCAGAGTTAAAACTGCAAATATGAAGCCTCCTGTCGTGATAAAATTGTAAATTATGTTAACGTAGTGTACCAATTATCTTAATTTTAGTAATGACAGGAGGCGAATATTTCCCAACCTATTGTCTCTTCCCATCCTGGAATTTCTATATTTCGATATTTCTGTCATTTTTTTTTTCTATGATATTAGGATCATATATGGTGTTATTATATGTATTGTATGGTATTATCGTCTTCAAGTAGCTAGATAGATTGGTATAGTCGTTTCTACTGGCTAGGCATGACTGTTATATCTAATATACATCTAATTTAAGTAGTAGATCGACAGTTATAGTATGTTAGCTTAAAAGTACACTACATTAGCATAATCTACAATTAATTATTTTAGGTGTTTTATCGATGTTTTACACTATCTTGATGATTTCTTGTTTATTGATCCAACCAACTCAGTCAGTCACATATTCTCTTTCTTTTTAACACACTAAATATTCTGGTGGCAACACACAAGACACAAGGGCCTTGCACATCACTATGTTTTCTGGGCATTAATCTGGACACTCTGGCAATGCAGGCTAGACTTCCACAATAAAAAAGTTGGCAGTTATTCTCAAATTCACTCAAAGCAAGACATGTACCTGTAGTCGTGTACCAGGGGCTTCGTAAAAGGAGTGCAACAGCCCTCCCTCCAATGTGCTCCAGTTCATGATCCCCATCCAAATTCCTTCCTTTAATGGTCTTATATATTATCCAACCTGGTTGGCCATCTTTAGGCCTACCTTAACTGGCAATCTTGGCACACCTCAGACCATACACTATACACTTTACATTTCAGGCCAAGCCTACAAATACTTTTATTTTTAAAAGTGGACTGTTTTAAACACCCTCAATGTCACCTTGAACAAATGAGGCATGTGTGCTGAATAAAATGCTAGTGTTATATAAATATGTAGAGCCATAATCATTGCTGGGCATACTTAATTTCGTAATAAGCTTCATTCCACAAGGTAGATCATTTATTTTACGTATCATGGTATTGCTTTCCATGGGGTCTGACTCAAGTAGTGTCATTCAGTTAGACCAAGTAGCATGGGCAGATCTGCAAAGGTGGCAGGGATTTTTTGATTAATTGGAAAAGTATCTCTAGGTTCATTCCTAAACCTTCCGAATCATCTCCTAGAGTTGCGGTGACATTTTGGTGATCAATGGTTGGTTGATTTTCTTTGGCAAAGAGATCTTTGTGGAGATGGACAATGGTGGTCTTGTGAGATGTCTTCCTGGAGCTACTGCTCACAGAGATAGGAGACGTATTTGTAATATTGTTAAGTGAGCAAAGCAGGAAGGGGACTTGGATGTACTTGTCCATCTAGGAACAAATGACTTGGCTTGTAATGAGGTTTCAGAGGTAAAGGAAGTTTTTAGTGTTTTTGCCAATGATATACGGCAGGTTGCTTCCACACTGTCATTCTCTGAAGTTCTGCCTGTGCATAACACTCAGAACAACAGGCGTATGCATATTAGGGACTTTAACTTGTGGCTTGGTGAATGGTGTCAGGAGCAAGGATTTGGCTTTATTTCTCATGGTAGCTCTGTTTGGAATGGAAATAAACTGTACAAAAGATGGTTTGCATCTTTCTCAAAAGGGAACAAATGTTCTCAGTGAGCAGTTCAGAGGTTTTGCTAGGATCACTGGCGTACATACCACGGTCGCAGGGGTCGCGGCTGCGACCGGTCCTGGCCCACAAGGGGGCCCGCCCGCCCTGTGACCCGGTATGTACGCCAGTGTGGCCAGCTTCTTCTCCTGGGGGGCCCAGGAGTTGGCAACCTCAGAGTTGGCTGGTCCTGGTGCTCTCTGCCCAGCTCCCTCGCGCACCGCACTGATGCCAGAGTTGGAATATGATGTCACTTCGGCTCCGGCATCAGTATGTGGCGCGTGAAGGAGGTGGGCAGAGAGCTCTCAGGGGAGAGTGCTTCCTCGCGCGCCCGCCAGCCAGCCAACCCGGTGACCGGCCGCCCAGCAGCACTACGGGACCCCAGGGAATCCCCTAAGCTCTCCCAAGGGTAAGGAGGCTGGGGGGGTTAAATTTTAACCCCTTAAGGACCAAACGTCTGGAATAAAAGGGAATCATGACATATCACACATGTCATGTGTACTTAGGGGTTAAAGAAACGTGTGTGTGTGTTAGTGTTAGAGTGTGTGTGTTAGTGTTAGTTTTTGTGTGTCAGTGTGTGTGTTACTGTGTGTCTGCTAGTGAGTGTCAGTGTGTGTTAGTTTTTGTGTGTGTTAGTTTGTGTGTGTCTGCTATTGAGTGTCAGTGTGTGTTAGTTTGTGTGTCAGTGAGAGTGTATGTTTTGTAAGTGAGTGTGTATGTGTGTCGGTCTGTCATTGAGTGTGTGTGTATGTATGTCTGTAACCGAGTATGTCTCTGTCAGTAAATGTGTGTGTCTGTTAGCCATTGAGCTGAAGTGATCTAGGTGTCTATAGTGGTCCTTTAAGTGTATGTGTATCTGCGTACATACCGCGGTCGCAGGGGCCACAGACCTGCGACCCCTGCGACCAGGTGCCCACCGCCGTGCGCCTCTGCGCGTGGGGGGGAGGCCACGGATCAATTTTCGCACCGGGGCCCCATGGGTCATGTGTACACTACTGGCAAGGATTTATTTAAACAAGATGGGGGGGCAAAAGGGTGATAAAAAAATCAATCCAATTGCCCCCCAAAACAAGGACAGAATGTGCCTGTAGCAAGTGTGTTAAAAAATGATAAGCTTAGAGTCATGTCTTCAAATGCTCGCAGTTTAGGGAATAAGATCCATGAACTTGTGGCAATAATGGCAACTGATAATGTAGATTTAGTCGCTGTTACTGAGACATGGTATAATGAAAAAATTGACTGGGACATAGCAATACCAGGGTACTCTTTATATAGAAAAAACAGGGAAGGCAAGAAAGGGGGAAGGGTTGCCCTGTATGTGAAAGATAGTGAAAGTTAGTGAAGTTAACATAGAGTCCGTTTGGGTTACGTTAGAATTTGGTAATCACACAGTAACTCGTGTAGGTGTGATTTATAGGCCCCCAGGACAAATTGAAGAGTTAGATAATCTACTAGTTGAGAAAATAGCTAAAATGACAATGAAGGGGGAAGTTATCATAATGGGTGACTTTAATCTTCCTGATGTGAATTGGAAAACCAAAATAGCTGCCTGTGCCAGGAGCACACACATTCTAAACTCCATACTGGGATTGTCTCTAAAGCAAGTCGTTGAGGAGCCAACTCGTAAGGAGGCCAGGAAATGCTAGCAGAATGCTTGGTTGTATAGTGAGAGGTATTAGCAGGAGAAAGAGTGTCTGTATGCATGTATGTGTGTGTCTGTATGTATGTGTGCCTGTCTGTATGTATGTGTCTTGTGTGTGCCTGTCTGTATGTGTGTACCTGTATGTATGTATGTGTGCCTGTCTATTATAGTGGGCTATAGTAAGTAATAGTAAGTGGGATACCTAGCTCAGCCTTCCTACTAGGCATTGCTATAAGGAAGGATAAAAAAAAAAATTTTAAAAGGGAAAAAAAAAGGTAGGGAGGGGAATTGAGGAGGGAGAGGAGGGGAGCTGACGCACAGATGAGAAATCATATTATGCGCAAACAGAGAAGTCATCTGAAGTCTAAGAAGTCTAAGTTAAAAACATTATAAACATGCATTAATTAGAAATAAAAAGATAAATGTACGTACATTTATTTATTTTTAAAATACACTCCTTTCTAAAAAATATTCTGCACTTGCGCGAAACCTGGTGGGCGGGAAGGAGATTTTTTAAACCAAAGAGATGCATTTGTGGGCGGTAGGTAGAAAAAGGTTGACTACCACTGCTTTAGAGAGAGTTTAGAGAAGGGCTACTAAGCTGGTTCATGGATTGCAAGATAAAACTTACAAGGAAAGGTTAAAGGATGTTAACATGTTAAGCTTGGGGGAAAGATGAGACAGGTGGATATGATAGAAACATTTAAGTACATAAAGGAAATCAACACAGTAAAGGAGGAGATTATATTTAAAAGAAGGACATAATCTTAAATTTTTTAAAGGTTTAAAAATAATATCAGGAAGTATTAATTTACTGAGAGGGTAGTGGATGCATGGAATAGCCTTCCAGCTGAAGTAGTAGAGGTTAACACAGTGAAGGAGTTTAAGCATGCGTGGGATAGGCATAAGGCTATCCTAACTATAAGATAAGGCCAGGGACTAATGAGAGTAATTAGAAAATAGGGCAGATTCGATGGGCCGAATGGTTCTTATCTGCTGTCACATTCTATGTTTCTCGGATCACCCCCTTTATGTCTGCTACCTCTCAGGATTCAGGCCTCATTCTCCACTACCTGCTTGCCCACTCCAGCTACTCATGTGCCTCATTTCATGTCTACAATCAGACCTTGTCTGTGCAATCCTCAATCTCTCACCCTGACAATCAACTTATCCATTATATTGTTACTCTGGACTCTACTTTCAAGTCTCCACTTACAGTAAATCTTCATCATTACCTATTGTTATTTACTCGCTCCAAAGACTCTGCTCATTCTCAAACTTTACAACAATATCCTCTCAACTATGTTGCTCTGTATCCTGTCATTCTGCTAAAGCTTGCAGTTGTCCAAATCTCTCTGCTGCCCCTACTGGGCAACCTGAGCAGTGAATACCTACTCAGAACCTGCAGGCTGTTTAAGATACCTCCTACCATATTGCTCCTAGTGGCTTACATACCACGGTCGCAGGGGTCGTAGCTGCGACCGGGCCCGTCACTCCAGGGGGCCTGGCCGCCCTACAGACCCCTGCAACCAGGTGCCCACCTCTATGTGTTGCGGCCCCGGCCGCACTGGATAATTGCTGGGGCCGCATGTGAAGGGGCCCATCGGGTGGCCCATGCTGTTAGGGCCACCCGATGGAAATTAATTTCAGTATCAGAGTGGGCCCGGTAACAGCACAGCTGGACCCCCTCTGATGATTTTAGATGCTGGGAGGAAGTGACTGCCCGGTCACTCCTCACAGCAACCACGAGGAGCTGCGCAGGAGGAAGGAGAGGGAGTCAGAGTGGGAACTCTGACTCCCATCATCCTGAGCCACTGGACCCCAGGTAAGTCACCCTCCTGCACCTAAAAGGTAGGTAATAGGAGGGTGACTTAAATATTTTGCGTGTGTGTATCTATGTATGTGTGTCTGTGTCTATGTATATGTCTGTCTGTATGTATCTGTGTGTATGTGTGTGTGTATGTGTGTCTGTATGTATATGTCTGTGAGTGTGTCTGCATGTATGTGTATCTGTGTGTGTGTGTGTGTGTGTGTGTGTGTGTGTGTATCTCTGTGTGCGTCTGTATGGGGTGGCAGTGAGGGGTGGCGTGTTTTGCACCGGGGCCCCATGGATTTTGTCCACTGTTTGCACCCTATAGATCTACTGGTTAAGTCTACTTAATTGTTGCCAATCAACTCTTATCCTACTTAAGGAGTTCTACATAATAGTATATTCACTCAATTGTCATAGGATGTTATTACTGTTGAAAGGTATTTGCAATATGTGTTTCAATAATCATTGTTATTACAAAGTTAACTGTATTGTGTTGCTCAAGTGTCACAGTCTATGCCAAAAGTGATAGAGTGCTATCATTTGCTGTTAAAACATTTGTCTCCTCCAATTATTACACAATAGTACATCACTACTACGATTTGTAACACCTTAAAAGAGACTTTCTGAAGTCTAAATTACTGAAGATGTCATGCATTTTATCTATCTATTTAAATAGCTAAACTGAACATGGGAAGACGACTGAGTTCCAACAGAGCTCATAATGAGATACCACCAATACAAATGACCAAATTCAATATTCTTAGAGTTGGAGATAGAATTTAAATTAAAATTTCCAGTTTTTAGTTAAACCTATTGGAGTTCATGGTAAATCTGTTAAATTCATGTTCCTACAGTCTTCACTTTCGCCTTGTTGTTCTCTGTTTCACACTGCACTTGCATTGTCTAAGCTACTCAAGGGTCCTCCTACAATGAATTATCGTAGGGATTGACAAAAGCTTGCCATTATGATGACCTCCATAAAGATAGTAGGATCTCAAAAATAGGGAAGCCACATGGAAGAAAAAAGCCCACACCAATTAATTCTTTTCGATCTTTTCAGTCCTTTATAATAAGAATACCTGGTAAGTCTAAATAGATACCGATATACCTGTTTCACTGGGAGGGGCACATTAAAAGAGAAACACACACTAGTAATTATTTGTATAATAGTCAGATTCCATTATCTTCTGGACATAGCATTACTGTTATGAATAGAAAGTCTATTGAACACATTCTTACAGAGAGAACAATTTGGAAACACCATATTTGTTAAAAAAATAAAACATAAAAATACAAAAAGATATACAAAGATATATCATAAAAAGATATTCAAACATATAAAGGAAAGGTAAGTTTATCTGAATACAGAGATAAAGATTTTTCCACAAATATACACTGATCAGCCACAACATTAAAACCACTGACAGATGAAGTGAATAACATAATAATAATAATAATAATAATAATAATAATAAAGTATTTAACCAGGAAAGGTACATTCAGATTACTCTGGTTTTCAAGTACGTCCTGGGGATGTTGATCATATTGTTACAATGGCACCTGTCATGGGGTGGAATATATTAGACAGCAAGTGAACAGTTAGTTGTTGAATTTCATGTGTTAGAAGTATGAAAAATGGGTAAGTGAAAAAGATCTGCATGACTTTGAATAGGGCCAAATAGTGATGGCTAGGTGAGCATTTCCAGAACGGCAAGTTTTGTGGGGTGTTTCTGGTATGCGGGGGTTACCATAAGTGGTGCAAAAAAGGACAACCAGTGAACTGGCATCAGGGTCATGGGATCCCAAGGCTTTATTTTCTGTCAATTTCTGTTTTAATAAGGCAATAGAGAATATGGTACAGAATAAAGAAAAGGGAGTTTTAAACAAGGAACATAAGGCATATGTGCAATGTAAATACAGTATCATTGAAACTCAAGTGTAAGATTGCCTCATTTATTTATTTTGTAAGAGCTAAGTGGGTTGATGTGATCAGGGTAGCAATGGGTAAGTCCCATAGCGATTTTGTTGTCCCAAGTGAGGAACTAATCCTTAGCCTATTCCCAGGGTGAGAAAGTGCAGATCACATGTGCAAAGGGTTTGCAAGGCAGCAATACCAGGAGTGTGGTGCAGGGCAGCATTTTCGTGCCACAGACTTGGGTGCTGCTGGAGACCAAGTCCCTTCCCACGGGGGAAGAACAGAAGGCCTTGATGGTGCATATTCGCTGGTAGCGGGTGGTCTTCCGTCTACTTGAATGATGCAATGGGGTCTTGTCCCTGATGGACCTTGGCCCAGGCTGGCCAGTAGTGGAGGATATCATCTTTGACTGAGGTAAGTGCCCGACGGGGATCCAATCACCCCTCGGCTCCTGCTCTCACATTCCCCTTTTTGAGGTTGTGGTGGTAAGGCTGTTTGCTGTTTTGCTAGAGAGGCTCAAAAACGGTCAAAGATTTAATTAAGCCACCTCACGGTTTGTGTCACCAGGTCAGAAAAAGCAAGCCTGGGCAACACTTGCTTGAGGCCACGTGAAGGATTTATCTTACGGAATTGAGCTGCGCCGGGGTACCTGCGGTACGGCTACAGGGATCAAGGCTATTGTGTGCTGCAAGCCAGTGGGGACCTGTTAGGGACCAGGAACCAGACAGAAACAGAACTAGATGATAAAATAGAAAATAAACTAATATCCAAAAGCAAAGTGCAGGAGGCAAGCAGGGGTCAGGCACCAAAGCGGGTAGTCAGACGAGCCAGGATCAGGGGAATGGAGAGCAGCGAAGTCAGAAACAAGGCCAGAGTCAGGAACCAGGAACAAACAGGAACTCACAGGAACAAGGAGACTTCTGGGGAACAGGAAACCACACAAGGGCAAGGAGGTACTGGGATTTGCTGCTTAAATAGGCTGCCTACTATTAGGTGAGTAACCGTGGCAACATACTGAAGGAGCTGATCGTTAATCTCTGCTCAAAACTCAGACACAGAAAAAGGAAGGGTTGCTGTTTAAAACAGCAAAGAAACCCTGACAGCACCGAGATTAAGCTTGGAGCTCACAGCAAGAACATCCAGCCGCCATAAAGCTTTGGCCCCAAACCCCTCAAAGCCAATTGATGACATTTTCTATTCCATTTCAGTGATATAGGATTTGATTAATGTCCCATTAATGTATAACTTTATGGAACTTACCATCATTGCATGATTCTTCATAGTCCTCCAATAGTGGCCAAGTCCATAAGAGCAGCAGTCACATTTATTTACATAAACATTTGGAGACTCATATTTTAGGCTTATTGAATACCACGAAAGAACTATCTGACAATGAGTCATGAATTACTAAATTCATTAAAAAAATATGAATGATATTAGAAGTCACTCTGTAGCTTTTATTAGCTTTCTAAAGTAGACATGGAGAGATTCACGGGGGTCAGAAATACTTACTTGTACCTGTTGCGGAACCACGACGGCTCTTCACGGGCTTAAAAACCAGCCAATCACAGTGCATCATTGTAGGTATCTATCTCCCGAGTGACTTCCCAGGGGCATTGGCTCTGACATCCACATTATAGGTCCCCCACTGGGACTATGAGCTCTTTGAGAACCAACTATGCCAACTGCATAATAAACAAGTAGCTTAAAATTATCAAACGGAGTCTAAACACTAGAGTGATTTGGTTACTGAGAAGCTGACATGATATGTATATTTTTTGACAACTAAAGTATTTGGAAGGTCAACTGTCAACTCAACAATTTGACAGGATTTATTCTAAACAAACAAAAAAAAATGTAATGTATTATGATCTTTAGAACTTAATTATGATGTGACTCATCCTCTTCCCATGTGGACAGCATGAAATAATCTTGTGGGAATGGTGTCATAGTTGATCCCTGGAGCATTCTAATTTTTATTTTCCCCCTCACCCTCAGTGAAAGCCCTCATTTGCACAAGTAGGTGCCATACGCAGGCTCTCATTATAAAAACAAGGGTCACTAGAAGCCAGATGGAACTAAAGGTTGGACAGCTGAAATAACAATGTAGTATTTACATTTCTACACAGGTGATCCTGAGGAGGAAGCAGTAAATCCAGGAACCCACATGCTGAGGCTGAAGGTGGAGATTGAAGATACAGCAAAAGAATGTTAGGCAGAAGGACAACTAAGTTGGAATCATCAGTGCATTCACAAGGAACCGTTCTCAAAAAACCTCAGAGACTACTTTAATGATCATTGAACTTCCTATTACAAATCTTTATGTTCTTGTTTGGTATTCAAGGCATCCTTTACCCTTTAACCCCACAGTGATCTTTTAATCCATTCAGGGCATGAATTTTGTCTCCTGCACTGCAAGTGTTAAATTAACCTCCATATGTATCAAATTGTTAAAGCCACAAGAGTAGCAAGAGGGGAAACACAAGCCTATAAAAATGTGGAACAAGAGTGGCATATTAGACTGATGAGCTCTCATGTTAAAATTTAGACCACAAAGATAAAGAAATGAAGATAAATGAAGCAATAACATATATCCATACAGCATTCTCAAAGACACCAGAAAAGCATATTTTTCCATCAAGGTGATCATTTATTGCATAAGGACATGGCAGTGTACAGACCACATTTGTGTAAGTGATAAATAGTAAAAAATAAATAAAAAATAAACGGGGAGAGGGGACTGAAAATAATCTCAAACTATGAGGAAATCATAATTAATCATAGTTTGAGATTTATTTGTTTTCCAGTTTTACCCCTGTTTCCTTTGTTCAAGTGGAAAGATCTTTTTTTTTTCTTTTTGTACTATTTATTACTTACACAAATGTGGACTGACACTGACATGTGTGCTGTCTTTTACGCAGTATATCTTCCCATTGATACAAAAGTATGATTTTCTGTTGGCTTCAAGAGTGCTGTAGGGATATATTCCATTTGCATCATTTTTATTATTTAAAATAAAAATAATACAACACTTAAGATTATAAAGATAAAGATTAGTCCTTTGACCCAATAAAATAAACGAACCATATTAGCATATTGTATACCAAAACATGAAAATGAGGGGAGGAAGAGAAAAAAAAAAAAACACAACCATATATACATATATACACAATAAACACCTCCTGGACTTACCCAATGCCAGGAGTTAATTAGGGGGCACAGTTTTCCCAGGTCTACTTCGGCCTTGGGATAAACTGCAACTCACTATGGGATCTTCCAAGAGAGAAGTATTTAATCGCCAAGAAAAATTGGGTTTAACTGATAATCCTTTTATATGTACAATGATATCTGCATGATCTGACCACGTAATATTGTTAATTTGTGAGCTATATAAATAGGGAGAAATTGGTCAAAAACATATCTATTCTAGAATACGTATCATGTGGATGCGAATAAAAGGTATAATCAAGTGTGTCAGGATGTTGAGCCCTCCATATATCAATAAGTTTATGAGTTATCATAAACTGAAAAAAATGTTTATCTTGTCCTCCCCTTCCCTGGGATCGCAATGTTCCCGGCTTATGACTTCTATCTATTGCTGGACAAGAAACCGCGTTACAGTCCCCACCTATCAAGACACAATCAAACGCTATGGAATCAATAATTTGGCCTATCGTATCCCAAAATCTATTATCTGGGATATTTGGGGCATATATATTCATTAAATGAAGCTTACGGGTGCCCATTATTCCAGACACTAAGATATATCTTCCTTCTTTATCCTGAATGGAATTTAAGACCTTAAACTGACATCTTTTATGGAACAAAATAGGTACTCCATTATGTTTTTGAATAGCATTCGAACAATGTGCTCTATCATACCATTTATCTGTCAAGGATAATATATGAGATCTGTTAAGATGAGTTTCTTGCAAAAAAACTATGTCCGCCTGCTTTCTCTTTAATTCCTTAAACATTATCTTCCTTTTAGCAGGTGAATTAAGGCCTTTTACATTTAAGGAAATTATCTTCTCATCCATCATAATTCAACACCAATACAAGCAGAGTAGAACTGAGGACAGGAGATTTTTTTCGTTATTTGCAGATTAGAGATTTTGCGTATTCAATGGAGGTAAAAATGGCAGTTAAATTCCCCTTCACTAATTTTGAAAAAATGTGCAAAATAGGTAGGTTAAAGGGAGGTCTTATCTCTGATTTGTATAATCAATTAAGTGAGGAACCTACGGTTTGGGCTCCATTAAAGTATATATCCTACTGGGAGGCAGATTTAGGTTTTTCTTTGGAAACTAAGGATTGGATAGATATCTGGGAAACAGCATCCAAAATATCGATTTGTGTAATCTCGCAGGAACAAATGTTTAAGATATTATTTAGGTGGCATGTGACCCCTGTTTTTTTGTACAAAATAGGTAAAAATCTGACGGATCTTTGTTGGAGGGGATGTGGTTTACAAGGGACATATTTACACATGTGGTGGGATTGCCCAAAGATTAAAAGCTATTGGGAGGAAATAAGGGAGCTAATTCAAGTGGTAATACAGGGAAATATAGAACTCAATCCTTGGATATTTTTGCTATCGAAATCAATAGCAGGTATACCCTGCCATTCGCAGAAATTAATATTTTTAATTTTATTGGCCGCACGTAGATGTATAGCCGCTAGCTGGATAAATCTGGATTTACCATCAATGAGAGAGGTGGAATTAAAGATTCAAGAAAATTATATAATGGATGAATTATCATCTAGAGTAAGACATTCTTATTATATGTTTGGTAAGGTCTGGGAACCCTGGAAGGTTTATGCGAATAGGAAGGGTATAGGTAGATAGAGAGGCAGAGGGGGGGAGAGTGTATTAAATGTTTTTTTTTTGTTTTTGTTTTTTTTGTGTGTGTAAAAATTTGTATTGATGAATAACTCAAAATGGTGATATTAGAGCTTAAATGCAACCTTTTAGGTAATATTGCTGTTAAATGCATGTTAAAGATTGTATAATGTATAATGAGTTCTTTTTTGTTGTTTTTAGTGTTAAATAAAGAAAGAATATTATAAGATTAGTCCTTTAAATTTTAGCCCAATTATTGTATTGACATTAAATTATTCAGCCAAGAAGGGTACGTATAGTTTTTAAGTATGTACAGGGATAATATTAATCAGCTCATTAGTACTGAAGAACAGAAGACTTATACAGCCCTACACAGTCTGTGACCTTGAGGTTTGAACTAATTCTAAAAAGACATTAACCACTGACATTTGTCAGCAACCCATGTAGATGTGCTAAAAATTAAATCAGAATCTTTGGTATTTACCAGGGTTGCTCAATACTGGCCATCCAAAAGTTCTTTAAGCTACTAGAACTAAGTGTTGCCTGTAGATGGCTGAACTTATGGGAGTTTTAGTCCAACAACATCTGGGAGATTAAGATTTAACATCCTGGTTTACACCATTAAATCACTTAGGCATTCTTACTTTGTTCCCTTTATAGAGAAATTTGGCACATAGCTAGATCTACACAGTGGACTAATTATTTTGCTTAACTAAAGATTGAAAGCATTCAGGGTCCTCTTCTTCTTTGAGCTTGACTTGGAAAAATCCCAAGCTCTGAAACAAGGAAAGATGATGCAGGAGCAGGAAATGATGATTAGTGATGGCAGCATTGCGAAGATGTTAAAGTTTGTATTGGATAATTAGAAGAAAGTCAGGAAATAATCATCTATCAGAGTTCCAATTAAGACTGTAACAAAATCCAGCAGGCTACTGCTAACTGAAAGCTTTTTTAATCCTTTCCCACTGTAAAGACTGGTAAATATGCCAAGAAATGTCTAGTGACACAAATAAAAAGAAAAATACAATCTTGTTTAAAGAATGTTTTATGTACATTTTACGTGACAAGGCCTGATAAAATCCTGCATTTACTTGGAAATGCTAGATATTTGCATTTTAACAATGTAATGTATAGTTCTAATTGTAGTCTGTTTACTAAACAGTGACATATGGTGTATTAAGAGCCAAGAACAACATTTAAGCAACAGTAACATAGTAACAGCCATGAGCATGTCTAAATAGCTGGAATGGCGACATTTTTAAATTCTATATTTCCACATTTTGTAATTAACAAATAAAGTTATTTTGATTTTGAACTATGAATTTAACAGTTTTCCTTATTACACATTGTCAATATATATATTTTTTATTTATTTATAGCTATCATAGACAAACACATTGTATCATTAGGTTTAAGTCTGTTGCAAAATGTTGGTATTTGTTTTAATTGCTTGGCTTGAACGGTTTGATCCTGCAAGCATCCAGATAGACAAACCTATTTGGCAAGGCCCAGAATCCAGCCATAACATTGAATACATTATGCTATTTGAAGCTAAGGCTTTCTCTGCCTGTGGCATTTAGTAATTGTAATCACATACTAACATAACTATGGTTAATAGGTTACTTCTGGAGGAAGTTACTTCACATAATGACCACAATTTATCTGTACTAAAGGCTAATCATGAGCTCTGAATATCATGAAAAGGAAATGGTAGCAAATTACAAGAAGGGGTGTGTTGCTAGGCAACAAAGTTATAGAGGGTAGACATTGTGTGTGTACCTGGCAGTGAAGGCGAAGGAGGGGGACGGACGGACGACATTTCTAGCCCAGGGTTTAAACATTAACGTTTTAAGTGCACAAAGGGGTGAATATTTTTGTTATGTCCATCTGGCACTCACATTTAAAAATTGTGTCTGTCCATTAATATTAAATATGGTATTATATGTAGGAAACTGCCTTTTCAAGCATTATGCCATTGAATTCTGGAACGCTATAGGAAATAGCAATGTTGTACTATAATAACATATGGTGCATTCAGTAAAGTTGCCTAAAATAGAATCCATGATCTCCAAAGAAAGGAATGCTTGCAAATTATTTGTTAGGATACTTATGTGGGTGGTACAATCGAGTGAGTGGGTGTTTTGTTTTCTTTTCTTTGTTTTGTTTTTATTATGGGGTCTGATGCTTCTTGCTTCCGTCTACCACATTTACACTTTTTTTCTTTAACCATTCTTTAACTTTATAGAAGTGTGTATATATATATATATATATATATATCTATATATATATATATATATATATACTGGGCTCACATACATGGATTACCTCTTACCTCCGTATAAGAGCTAAAACGCCAGGAACAATGCAGAAATCGATCTTCACTTTGATATTCAACAGCCAGTATAATAGTTTAGATTGTGGAACTTTGATTGACTAATGCTAGCTGAAAATGGTTTTAGCTTCACCTTGGAGTCAAAACTACTCTTGAATTTCTACATAATCATAAGAATCATAGTCTATAAACTTTTGGCCTGTCATTAATATGGATGAATGGATGGATGGATGGATGGATGGATAGATAGATAATGGCTGGAAGTATGGATTAACTGATTTACCATGTACAAGGCACATAGAAGCAGTAACAAAAACACAAAAATTCTGTTAAAGATCTTGTTCGAAGAACTTCAAAGTCTTTATCACCTGATATTTAAACACAATGATAAAATGAATGGGAACATTTTACAGTATCTGCATGGTTTAACAGGGCATTTAACAGTCCCCTATGTTGTTTTATATATTCTGTTATGTTCATATCCTGGAAAGCTGTAATGTTTGAAAGTGTGCTCAAAGGGACACTCTAACCACCAAAACCACTACAGCATAAAGTAGTGATTCTGATACAAAGAGCCTATCCCTGCAGGCTGGCAATTGTAAACACTGTCTTTTTTGGCATCTTACAAACATTGAATGCACCCCACAGTGAGATATTGATCTCTTGCATCTCTATGAGGAGATGCTGATTGGCAAAGTACAGTGATTGCCATGAATGTACACTAACTCCCAATGTTTCTCTATGGGAATCATTGCTTTGGATGAAAGTAATGATAATCTCAACCAGGGTTGGAGCAGCAGCTGCTGCAAGGCCTGCATACCAGGATCTAAACATAAGTTATAAGGCTTTGTTTTACTAAATTAAGGTGGGCCCTGAATCTAAACAGTGGTGTATCCTGGTTTTGTGCTGCCTTAGGAAGGACAAAACTCAGACGCCCCCCAACCGCGCGCAACCCCCATCCATCCCTTCCCCCCGCCCCGCCTTCTAAATACACACACACACACATTCACTGACAGATACGCTAACAGAAACACACACTCACTGACACACACAGACACACACTCACTCACTAGCAGACACACACAGGCAAACATACACACACAAACAAACACACTCACTCACTGAAACACACACTCACTGGCAAGCACACACTCACTAACAGACACACACACTCACTGACACACACACACTAACAGACACACACACACACTAACAGACATACACACTCACATTAACACATTTTTTTTTTAAACCCCCCCTCCTTACCTTTGGGAGTGCTGGGGGGGGGAGGGGTTCTCTATCTCCCTGGGGTCCAGTGGCTGCTGGGCGGGTGGCGTTGACGGGCAGGTGGCTGGCAAGGGAGCACTTCCCCTGAGCACTCTGCTCAGCTCCCTCGCGCGTCTCAGAGTGAAGCTGGGAGCCGGAATATGACATCAGAGGAAGAGCTCCCTCGCCAGCCGCATGCCCGTCAACGCCGCCCACCCAGCCCAGCATGTTAGTTAGCCGCAAGGCTAACAAGGCATTTGCCCTGGGCATTTGGGGGGCGCCCCTGAATCGCGTCCTCGCGGCTAAAACGCCCCTGAATCTAAATAGAGAAGAAAACACTCTAAGGGTTAGGAATACATTATATTCCTTTAATTTGATTTGCTAAATATTTTGAACACTGCATGATCACAGAAGCTAGTACCATGTGCCATATTAATAACATAGTATGCCTGAGGATTGAAGTGAATTCAAAGTAAAAAAAAAAAGCTAAGATGGAAAGAATCTCTAATTCAGCTATGATTCCAGTTTGGCTACTTTGGCCTTAAATGTGAAATTCATTTTTAATTCTCACTTTAGTGAGTAACACTGTATGTTTTGGAATCAATTGTCACCTCCTGAAAGTCTCCTGCTTTTTGTTGAAAAGATTTATATATTATTCAGGTGCAATTTTACAGACTAAATATACTTGTTCTGGTTTTAATCCTTCATTTGTCATAGAAGACATAACAGTCTGCTCGTGACTCAAAGTTTCAGCTGATTTTTCATACTTTTTTTTTTTTTTTAAATGTTGTGTTTGCACAAGAAAGGGTTAAAAAGTTGTTATCCAGACAATGCAGAGCAGAGAATCCTTGCTTCTTACAGCATGTTCTGCCTGGGTAACCAAACTAAATGGACCAAACTCTCCTGTTGCTGCAAGTAGACTTGACCAGAGTTAAAACCAACAAAGACAGTTTCTGGTGGGTGCTTTTGAAACGCCAAGTACTGAATAAACAAGCAGTTTTAATTGACATGCAAATTAAGCTGTGTATAAAGGGACACGCCAGGCTGGAGTTGACTTCCTTGCCCCCCTTCTTCTCAGTTTTTAACACATTATATAAATAATGTATTAAAAATGCAAAAAAAAATAATTTATTTTAAAATGAAATTATACTTAAGTTTACTAAATACGTAAAGTTTTTTTGCAGTGGGCTCTTACCAAATTAGGAAGTTACCTAGCCAGCTATGGTGCCCTCATAAGTTTCTATGTGAGCACAAAGTATATCCTATACATTCATGCACAGCATAGGTTAGTTGGACTTTGGCTGTCTGCTTTCTAGTGACAAGTCTGCAATTATTTTAATTGGTTTTAAACCTAGCATAAGGTAATAGAAGCTGGTGGCACATATCATCACTCGTGGTTTTTATGAGTGAAGCCAACTGTGGACTATACTGTTCTCATCTGCCAGCTGGATTGCGTAACTCCTGCGGTGCAATCTCTCAGCATAATACATATATCACTGTATTATTGGGGTAGGAAAATAATTGAGCAGATTTGAGGGGTAGAAGGGAAACACAACTGTTTATTATGAAACAAAAGAGTGAAAATGAAAACTGCCCAAAGCATTACCATTTGTAACCTAAACATAGACTTCCCACGTCTTGTGCACGTAAACTAGTGGATTATACAGAGTTTACTTATTTTTTCTTTTACTTTTACATTGCATTGTGATGTTATATGCCTGTTACTGTGAAATGCCATTTACTTCATATGCTATATATAAAAACAATATATGAACTGTTTGGTCTGATGCATACTAAAGAAAAACAGCAAAGGTAGTCATCAACATACCCTTTTAATCATTAAGGGCCTCTTGGCGAGTAGACCTTGGTTAGGTTGATATCATTATCCAGTCCATGAGATATGATAGGAAGTTTGCTTTATACCGAACAAGAATAGTGTGAAGGAATACCCCATCACTTTCAGCTCTTTTCGTACAACAGATTCGTATTTAATTTTGCTTCAATTATTTTGTTTGGTTCCCGAACCAACACCACATCAGAGACCCATTAGAACATGAAATGTTGAGTATACTGTATGAAAACAGCAAAGGAAATAATTAATAGAATACTCCACTGGGTGGCTGCCAGTCCCGCGAACACCGGTCACCATGGACCTACTACCCGTTCCAGTTCAAGTTCACCTTTATGAACGGCGTTCAGAAGTTACAGATTACCGAACACGGGGAGCATTCTACATAAATCAGCTTTCATCTACCTTATGTGGTTTTCGTACAAAACCCCACGAACGGAGACGGGCTCTTGACTTTGGTGGAGTTTACATGTATTTTAGGGGTACTTTTGGGTGGTTAAGAAATGTATGATTTTTCTGTCCCTGAGGTAATATAATTAGCGATGTGTATTCCAATAATTATCTCTAAGGCACAGAGGATTATGGGATGGATTTCCCTGTTCATCTATGTTAGAAACCCTGTGTTGGGGCTTTTGCATAAAAAGTCATTTGTGGCTCTAAATAAACCAGTCTTCTCCCAGCATTAAGCCTTGGCTCATGTGTGGGGAGTTATGGGACACCGGCGATATTTTACCTTTGGGATTATTTGTATTCGTTTATTGGGAAAAGGGTATCCG